CCACCCCAGTTTCAATAAACAATGGGCCAAGCCCATTTTGACAGGTCTAATTGCTAGCATAACTACTTTAAAGGAGTTGATCAAGTTAGGATTTCCAACACCTACCACGTCAGTTGCATTTTCTCCTTTTTCTTCATTCACATTTGTGTTTACTATTAGGGGAATGGATCCATTTAATGTATTCTCATCACCATTAAGGTGTACAAGTTAAGCTTGAAAAGTGGTGGGAGTGGAGGATGCAAGTTGAGATATGGTCTTTAACATCCGCCTATTGTTGTCCTCCAACATTTGCATTCTCTCTCAAGAAGCTTCAATCATTTTCATCAGCTGCTGGATGTAAGTGGGAATAGGTGCATCTTGGTTGCCAGAGGAACTATCCATCTCTTCCAGTAACACAAAGTTTTACACAAAGCTTTTACTTAATGCAATCACTTCTCCCTAGTGAAGTCACCAAAATGTAAAAAGAGTTCTTGTGATAGAGACAGGAAGCATTGCACTAGAGGCAGCGGAGAGGAAAATTAGAGCAGTTCCTGAAGTATTGAATGTCACAGTATGTGAAAGATATTAAGAAGAGAATTAACGAGTAGAAGAAAATTAGAGAGAGAAGCTTTTAAGGAGAATGCGTTAGCCCCTAAGAGGGGCAAGAGCCCCTCTAAATGAATTGTGAGCCTTTATATATAGTGCTAAAAGTGACAGTTACTCAAGAATAAGCTTTAATGTGCCTCATGAATGACATTATTATGAAGAGCTTTAATGTGAGTAACTGCTACTGTAATTGGGTGTAATAAGACTTATTCTTGAGTAAAAAGTAATAAAAAAGAGGTATGCATGAAAGGGTACAAGAGAAAAAGATGTATGTGAGCAGGCATACAAGAACAAGGTAGGAGGGTGAAACACTTGTACTTCAAAAAAAAATTAATAGAAAGACCTATTAATTGCCTCCATATCTAAGCCACCAAGCCAAAGTTTTCAAAATATTTCAAGATGAAAGTAACTCATGAGCCCTCCCATTTATTTTGAGTTGCTTTCACTGTCATCCTTGTATAGTGATTATTTCGTGCAAAATAACTGTTCTATTTGTATTAGTTGTTCCATACGAAGTAGTGCTCTACTTAATTTAGTTGTTCTGCATGAAATAACGCTTCACTTATTCTAGTTGTTTTGCATGAAGTAGTGTTTTACTCGTTTTAGTTGTTTTCTATACAATATTATATTGTAACATAAGTTTTAGAAAATAGATATTAATCAAAATTAAGTATCTACAGGGGTATAATCTTAGGACTCTTGGGTGAACTCCAGGAAAAGGAAGCTTGCAACTCATATTTTCCTGTCAGGTTTTTTGAGGTTTAATATTTAATCTCAATAGAAAAGTGAATCTAATGCAGTTGCCACCAATTTACGTGATTCAGGATTGAAGTTGAAATTTTCATACATCTTTAATAGTTTGGCCTTTTTTTTAATGAGAGAAAGCATCCCAATACTCAATGGATTTGATTTAAATATACAAATGCTCAGAATATGGCACACAAATTTTACTGTTATTGTATACAATTGTCAAAATTAAGCTTGCTTCCGCCTTTTAATTCGTTCAAGTGCACCCAGACGGCTCTCAGCAGATGGAACATCCTTTTGTGCAATTTCAACTCTTTTTTCTGGCAACTCAATATCTTCATGATTTGCTCCATCTGCCTGTCACTCAACTCCAGCACTCACAAAGCCTGATTTTCTAGAGCTGTCTTTAGCAAGTGTATCGTTAGTGCCTCCCAAGAGCATCCATTTCATCCTCAGAGGTACCAGCCTGTTTCCATTTGTCTTTAGCTTCATCAATGTTCGGAATGAAGTGTGTCTGGTTATAACTTGCAGAAACACTCCCTTTAATCCGCAACATTTCTCTGAAGGCATCTTCATTCTCATGTTGCACCTCAAACTCTCGCTTTTTATCCCATCGGAGCGTGGATCCGCAAACTGATATGCAAATGCATATATTTCACGAGCACCATCAATTTCTCCCAAGCTCTTTCCTAACTCTGCGTATTTCAAACACATTTTCATGTCTTTATCTGGAAGACCAGACTCTATTGCCTGCTCATAAATTTCTCATGTTTTTGGAACGCCGAAGATTTCAGCTGCACGAGCAATGTAAATGTCATACACATGCCAAGCTTTTCAACATTTGAAGCAGCCTTAGTTGCTTGATCATAGATCTTCATAGCTCGCTTTGCAAGCCAATAATCCTCCTCCAGCTTTGCATATTAAAGATATCGGGGTTTCACTGCATCTGCAGGTGCCGTTTCAACAGCATGCTCAAAGGGCTCCCTTGCTCGTTCCAGTTTTCTTTTCCCCCATCTCTTTACAAACTTTGACAAGTAAGTAACCCATATATCCTTCACATGTGGATACTTGGATATCTCGACACCTCTTTCATACACTTTGGAAGCGTCGTCAATATATTTGTTCTCCTCTAACAAAAATGCATAGTTTATAATAATTTGTGGCAAGCGATTCTTAATCAGTATTCTGTCATAGACTCCCGCGTGACTCCAGATACCCTGGCTTTCTTCCTAGTCCACATAGAACGTCCAGAGCCTCAAGGATGAATGGAGCTTCATCTGAACAGGTTCATTTCCATCAGCAGCACTCTACGTTTGACCTCAACAGAAGCACAGCTGTGCACGTCTTATCAGCTCAATGCGCCTTTGAAATTCTTGTGCCTCAGTTCAATCTCCGCCCAGTCAGCCCATACGGTTGCCAGGTGATCAACAGTCTTGTAATTTACTTGGACAGCTTTATCAAAAATGACACGATGATTGGCCAGATCTTTGTAAGTCTCATATAGCTTCGCAAAAGCCACCCACAGAGTATGGGGCTTTCCGATAGCTTTCATTGGGTCAATTGTCCCAACTGCCTTTGTGTATATCAATATTTTCTCGGTAGGGTTCCCCTCAAATAACTTGACCCTACGATGCCATTAATTGCTCCTCATTATGTGAACAGTGGATTCTGGCGTAAAAGGACACTATTAGCCAGTTCTGGCCTTCTATTCATCAAATGCTTTAACCGAGCAAACCTCAAATCTACATTCTTATCATGACGTAACCAAACCCCTCAATAATCTTCTTCTCAAACTTGGGTTCTGACTTGCACAGATCAATGTCCAAACAGACTTGTTCATCTTCATCCTCCTCAACATCATCATCTTCTTCATCGTCACTCAAATCCATATTCTCCATCTTAATAGACACCGTGCTTTCTTCAAATTGCGAATAAGCATGGAATATGACACTAAAATCCCTAACGGTTACCACTGTTGTCATTGTCCTCAAAAATATTCATGGCCTTCTGGAACAGATTTCTTCTGATGTAATAATCAGCAAGCCAAGTCCAAAGTCGATCTCCCAGCTTAATCTGTAAACTTCCTAATCCCACCACTGATCATTGCATCCACATTGAGCTCCGAAACCACTGTGGCATGCGTTCTCAGCAAGTCACACAACTCCAACCACAATCTATGCTTAGTTTTACCTTATCGTATAGAACTGATCATCATTCAAAACAGATGCTAACCTCTCTGCTACTGCTTCTTGCCACAGACTTGAATTCACCAAAAACTCAATAAAATCCTCAATATGACAATGATCATGCCTCCTGTAAACCCCAAGTGACGTCCCAATGGGGATACCTTTTGACTCACAAGAACCAAATAAGGCTCCCAAATCCTATCATGTTGAGTCACTGGTAGAGAACAAAGCACCCTATCAAACGTCTTACGTGTCTTACTAATCACCTCCTGTTCCGTTAACGTCAACAAGTACATTATCCTATCGTTTTATGATAGGCCATGACCAGGAATGATGTGCTTTTTGGAACGGTCTGGTTTAAAGAGGCAACTGGGATGAACTTTCAGTCATGGAAATGAGTTTTAAGAACGAAAGTTTAACCTCCATCAAATGGGCCTTGGAAGATCTTGTTTCTAAGCATTTTGTGGGCTGGGTAGCGTTATTTTTGTCAAGCATGTTCCAATCCAGGTAGTATGTAAACGTTTTTGTCATCTCTGAAAGCTTTCATAGTTGGCGTGCTGTGATAAGTCTTTGATGTACAGAAATAAAGCCTAATGACAGCAGGATGTAACTCATTTTAATGAAATACAAATTATGCCTCTCAAAAAAGGAAACAGTACATCATCCAAATCCTAGGCATCTTATGCATTGTAACAAGCGCTCTCTCCAAGGCATTATTAAAGATTTGATATTGAGGGTGAGTAACGAACAATTTGAAAACGTTCGCGTAAATAAATATGTCAAATTAAATATACTAATTTTCATAGGAAATATGATGTATTAATCTTCTTTTAAATGATGTACCCCTCAAAAAAAATTAAATAACACTGCAAATAAGTGAAATATTTGCTATGCAGAAAGATTCTCAAACTTGTAAAAGGAAAAAAAGGGTGGTTAACCAACCAAAATTGCATTGATTGAATCAGTTAAATTTGATTAAATACCATAAAATGTTCATTCCCTTCTAATCACTGAAATCAACTTAACAACAGGACTAAATCAAATATTTATAAACGCTGATGCAAAGGATGTCAACCCACATTAATAAAGTGATGAACTGGATCTCAACCCATTCTTTTATATGTTATCAACACAAACATCAAACTTTTTTGCTTTGCATTTCTGCTGAATGCCTTCCATTATGGCAGGATATGGAAGAGGTTAATCATAATCTTCGTAATGATGGCCAAATAAATCAATAACCATTCTCAAAAATGGTCTCACTCCATAATTGAAAACGTTAATCACGCTATCATTTGACCACTATCAAATTTCTTGCTTACATAAAAACAATGTAAAACATAGAGATGCAAATGGTTGCTTTGGTTCCACAAAGGGATACAACAAACACAACCTAATCAGACCAATTTTCATCACAAACTTGCACCAAAACGGCATGCAGAAAGGCAGCACTACATTCTAAAGAGGCCCAAGAAACTTTTCCTAGAAGTTCTTTTTCCCATCGAAAATTTGATCAAACTGCCAATTGGTCGGCGCCACGTTATCAAACTCCACCATTTTGCCATCACTGGTAGTCACCTGGAATGACAGGCTTTGCCCTGTTAACTTTGTTCCGGTCTGCCAATTCACTCCCCAGTTACGGCTCATCTGTATCCAGCCAGTTCTAGAGCCCTTGACTTTAACATCCTTAACATCACCGGCCCCTCCAACATTGTACAACAACACCAAAGTCCAGTAAGGGTTTCCCTTGACCTGGAACTGAACCCCACCTTTCTTGGAACACAAGACGCGACGGTACTGGACGGGGATGATTCCAGCTTTGTATTGCGCTAGTTTGGTGAACATTTTCATTGAGAGGTCAAAGTGTTTTAGTGGGGGATTGCACCAGTTGCCGTCAGGCTTTGAGTAATTAGGAGGGCAAAAATTGGTTGCGGTCACTTTGATGGTGCCAGCATTGGGATAACACCATTGAGGGTTATTGACGCACTTGATTTCAAAACACGCACCGCAGGTGAGTCCATTGTTGAATAGAGCCGTGCTAAGGGCTGCTGTCTCGAGTCCGTACCCTTGCTTGAAGAGATCACCATATCCGCAAGCTCCCTCTGCAATATATAATCACGTAAAACACCTCTTAACTATTTAACGATTGTGTTATGATCAAAATCATCAAAAAGTGGATGATTTGATATATCATGCAGGAAATAATAGCACCACATTCCGTACATATGAAACGGTATACTTACGCATGGTTTCTCCACCGCTTATATCACCATAAAATGTTGCATGGGCGTCGTGCCAATTGGTATCAATACGTCTTGGCCACTTGCCCATAGCTGCAGCCATGTAGGACATGCACAAGAGAAATGAGAAGAAAAACTTAAGAAAAGCCATTGCTATAAACTAGATAGAGAGATTAAACTAAATCAAAGCCTGATAGGAACCTGTGTCCAAGGACTGGTGTTTAAATATAAGGTCAATATGAGATATAAAAGGGAAGGAAAATTCAAATTTATGAGACCTTAATTCCACCATTTAAGTTCAAGGAGGATTTTGGTTAAGTCCAGCAAATTATGCAAGAAATGATGTCTTGCATTCATTGTAGCCACCACAATTTTGGAAAGAACAGCAAAATATTCTTTGCATCTATTCTGCCTTCTTCAATCTTGTTCCTTATGAAATTAATTTATACATGTGAAAAGGGATTAAGTCAGTTTGGCAAAAACATATTCATTAATTATTCCATGCATGAGGTACGTTTTTGTATGGCCATTAAATGACAATAATTTACTTACTTAACAAAAAAAAGAAGCATTTTCTAACAATGTACTAAATAAATTAATCACTTTAAAAAATAATCCCAAGTGTTAAGGAAATTAATCCACAAAAATTGATTTCACCGTTCAAGGAAAGATAGCATATATGGGATTAATTATATTATTAAACATGGTTGATGTGTAACGACAAGTGAGAACAAAGGTTTAGCATAATCTTGTGATAAAAAAAGGTAATTTATGCTCATTTATCTCAGGAATAAAATTTGTGATTTTAGTGAAGATATAAGTCAAAAGGCCATATATGATTATCCCAAGGAAATCATGCCAAAGAAAATGGTAACATTTTACAATTTAGCGATACTTATTGGAATTGGAACAGCAATTAATTAAATAATAAATATAGAGAATTCGACCGTTAAAAAAAGAACTACATATATAATAATTCTTATTATTTATTAGGTTGTTTAATCATGTGGTAACGCTGTGTTTGCTATGAGAGATAATCAGTGGCAAAATTAATTAATTAGTTTTGCTCCATAATCCTTGTACTTGAAAAATGGTAAATCTGTGAAGCACATAATTATTTATGGTGCAAGGGTGCTCCATTTTTCACTAGTTTCCTTCCTTTTTCCATCATCAATATAAATAAGGCAAGCTTATTAAACTTCATGCCATCTTGCCATTGACTTCCTTATATGACAAATTTTAATATCAACTTCAGAATTCAAACATGTCCTTCAAAAATTTGAAACTAACAACTAAGCTTGGCCCCTCATCAGCCAGGTTCTTTTCAGTAATTTTTAATATCCCAATTCGGCTCCAGAAAATATTATATCAATAATAAAATATTTTTAATATTAAATTTTAGTTTAAAATACATTTTTAAAATTTTAAGATATTATTAGAAAAATAAAATAAATTTTCAATATTCAATAAAATAATTAAGTTAATAAACATATGACATTTTCAAACAGAAGATGTTGAGTTTTTTATTTTTTCAAATAAAACTTTGTGTTTTACTACTATTCCCACAAAGAGGAACAATGTTAAATTTTCAAAAAACCATAAGACCCTTATATTTAAAAACTTTATTTTTTACATTTGAATCTTAAATTTTCAAATTCTTCTTGAAAGAAAAAGAAAAAGGATTGAACCTACTTAATTTTAAATAGTTAATTTTAAAACTTTGACATGTGTGTTATGATTAAATTAATGATTTTAAAAATATTGCAGTCATTACACCAATTTTCATAACATAATAAAAGGACGATAAAGTATATCTCGTTACCAATTTTGCTAATAAAATTGAGTCTTGTTTTTATTATTTGTTTCTTGCTAATAATTTAATTATTTTTTAGCTTTCTTATACTTTTGAAGTAAAAAAAAAATAAAAATTAAATTCTATTTTAATGCAAAAAATTGAGATAAACAGTTAAAAAATGTATCAATTATATTAACATACATTAAGGTCGCTTTTTGAAAAACAAAAACTATTATTCTTATTCTGTACATTAAATTTAAATTTCTTAGTTTAATGTTGAGTGTTTTGTCTTTTAGAGTTGATGCGTAATCTATTAAGTGTTTCTTATCACAAAAGCCTCTAACTTGCTTCAATCCACCTTCATGTAGTGTACAACCTAATCACACAAAATAGATAATGCAACTACATAGAGAATTCAATTACACTAAGGCATAAATCATGCTCAACCATATCATTTGCTCCAATCACTTAGAAAGCATTTTTATATTAGAGTTGCAACACTCATTGGCATTTCATTGATATGGAAACTATAAAACTGCTTTATATCTCTAAGAATTTTGATGTCATCACTTTTTATAAAATTAATACCAACACCTTTCATCCAAAATGACAATCCTGTGGATGTAAAGCTCTCGATTGTTTGGAAGATCATAATTGACGCTTTGTGTTTAGGTTGTCTTAATATAAGTTTATAGTTTTTGTTAACTTTACAAATGATCCTAGTTTTGAAATGACAAAATAACGTTCAAAATTGCAAAATCAAATCTTTAAACAATGTTTGACAAAGCCTAAAAACCCCTTGAAATGTTAAAAAGAAATAGCAAAGCGTTTACTGAAATAAGAGGTTCAAAACAATATTAAAAAATGAAGTTTAAACTGTAAGTATCGATACTTTCAATAAAGTATATATCAATACCTCATGTTTGGCAAGCAACAAATATTGATGCCTTGTCTATAAATATAGATAGTACTTAACTCGAGAGCAAAAATTTTAAAGTAGAGGTAAAAGTATCGATATATGGTCTAAAAACATCGATACTTCCAAGACAAAAGACAAAAAGCATTCTATCTTGGAAGTTTCGATACCCTCCTATGGAAGTATCGATACCCTCCTATGGAAGTATCGATACTTCTGTGCAGGATTTGAAAAACTCACTTCAAAAGTATTGTTACCTCAATAGAAGTATCAATAGATGTGACTGTTGGGCATGAAATTCTAGAAACTAATGACTCTATTTTGCAGTAATTGTACTCCAACTGGTCCAAGAGGCTTTCCTACTATAAGTTGAAGCTTCTTACCACATTTATAAAGTAGGAAGACTCTGGAATCAAATCAAAACAAGAGAACAAAGTTTCAAACATTAAAATCACCTTTTGTTCTCTCTTGAGCATTTGTTGTCTTCATTTATTGAGCTTGACTAATCTATTCGTCATACATTGCTTATTCAATAATTGTACCTACCAAGCTTACTAGTCTTAAAGAGGCATCTTAGATCTTCCATTTTATCATTATTGTAATCATTGTTGTTTATACCTTAACCATTTAAAAGGTACTTATATTGGTTATACCTTAATTGTAGAAAAGGTAAAGGAACTAAACTTGATGCTTGAAAAGGTTTGCAGATGCCCAATTTTGGATAAATATTATTTTTGGAAGTATTGTGCTATAGAATAAGAACAAGCATAGAACAACTATTTTATATGTTATGCTATAGACTAGGAACAAGCATGGAACAACTATTTCATACGAGGAAGTGAAAGTAACTCAAAACAAATGGTAAGATTTGTGAGTTATATTCACGTTTCGGATGTTTTAAAAAGCTTGGCTTGGTAACTCAAATATAGAGATAGTTAAGAGAACTTCCTCTTAACCTTCCTTTGAAGTACATATGCTTTAAACTTTTTCTTTCTTCCTTCCTTAAAAGTACACATGACGCACTATCACATGTCACTATTTCACTACCCAAAACTTACACCCACTACCCAACCACATGGTTATTCTCTTAATATCTCATAAGTCATTTTTGAAACATACTTTTCCATGACAAGCACATTCTTCCACAATTGAACGTATTCTCCTAATTACTCCTAAGAAAGTACACTTATTCAATATAAATATAACAGCTTAAAAGGTTGGGAGGCAATTAAAAATTATCAAAAACTCAATAAAGAGTATCCTTAAGCTCTCTCAATACTCTTCCAAACATCTTTTCAACTCAGTCTTTTCCCTTCATCGTACTCTATTCGCTTTCTCCACCCTTTCTTATTCTTCACCACTTGCCACCAAAGCATTTATGCTTCAAAAATTGCTCCAGTCCTCCTTTCTGCTACCTCTAACGCATTCCGTTTCACATGTTGTAATACATCTTCTCTCTTACTAAAAAAACCCTCTACATTTTTATGACTCCACTAGAAAGAAGTGATTGTAGCAAGTGAAAAGTTGCCAAAAATTTCTTGTCAGAAGACATGGAGAGTTATCCTAACAACTAAGAAATGACCATCCCCACCTATATTTAGGAGCTCATGAAAATTCTCCAAGCTTCCCAAGAAAGAATGCAAGTGTTAGAGGAAAACAACAAGTAGATGATAGAAACCATCATCCAATTTACATCCTTAATTGCCACAACTTCTCAACCTCAACCAATGCCAACCCATAATGGAGAAAATGTTGTTGAAGTGGTCAACATTACAAATAGAAATGGAGGAAATGGAGAAAGCATGACTGACCTATTCCTCAATACCACCAATCCCTTTATTATTGGGAATCCTGTTACAACAACTCCTTAAACCAGTGCTCAAAGCTTTGTTACAAAGGAAGAACTTGAGAAGTTACTCGATTAGAAGAATAACAGCCTCAACGTCTTAGAGTTTGACTAAAGCTACCTTATCTTGCCAAGGTAGTAGTCAAGCCATATCCCAAGGATTACACTTGCCCGAAATTCAAACAATCAGTTTGTATCGTCAATTGCCACAACTTCTCAACCTTAACTAATGCCAACCCATAATAGTAAAAATGTCGCTAGCATGGTCAACAACATGAATGAAAATGGAGGAAATGGAAAGAGCACGACCGTCCTATTCCTCAATACCACTAATCCTGCAATTCTTGGAAGTCCTATCACCACAACTTATTCAACCGGGGCTCAAAGTTTTGTTATGAAGGAAGAACTTGAGAAATTACTCGATCAAAAGAATAAAAGCCTCAACTTCTCAGAGTTTGACTTGAAACTACCATATCTTGCCAAAATAGTAGCCAAGCCATATACCAAAGATTACACCAGCATGAAATTCAAACAATTTAATAGCGAAATCGGTGATTCTGATGAATACGTCATAAAGTTTGTGAAAAACTTGAGAGTCGCAGGCTTGGATGATGATTTAAAACTAAAAGAGTTATTTAAGTCTTTCAC